ACTGAGTAACTATTGTGCAACACACACATATGTATTACTAGTACTAGTAATGTGGAAAACACTTATCCATAATCCTCTAATCCACTTTTCCTACCTGATCTCTGAACATAACCTACCTACCCTTTTACCTAAGATTTAGATCTATATTAAATTAACAGTTAAATTGTATGACTACTAACAAACTAATAACTATTCTTGTGCTCAGATCCCAAGCTCCAGTTCATAGAATGTCCCTGAGTTCACCCAGCTCTAATGGGTACCTGACTCACTATCAAGTACTAACCACACTAATGCTTGATATACACATGTCAAGGAAACAGATGAGCTCTGCTTCACCTGCCCTATTGTCTATCAGGTGGTGTCTATATTTTAATCATCACTCAAACACTAAGGGCAGTACTAATGTCTGCTAGATGGGCTATTGCATTACTCTTTTTTTTTCTGTTATTTATTTTGGCCAGTCTTTGCATTTTCTTTGAAAAACTTAACCTAAAACATGTCGTCATAATGTCATTGTAGTTTGTTCAGTAAGTTCAAAGTTCAATTGATGGTACTTTATGTCATTCTTGATATGCATGAAATGATGAAAGCCAATTATAGCTAGGCTTTCTGTTTACTTGAGTTACTGTTGCTATATTTCACATTTCTTTAAGAAAAAAACATAGCTATACATAGTAAATATTTATTATGGGCATGTGAAAATAAATTTACTAATTCCTTTTTTATTTCATTATTCAGAACTCTCAACTCTCTCACTTATATTATTATATTATTATAAAATGCATTAACTGTTTTTTAAAACTCAATCTAGGTTGTAGCCTCAGCCGAAGAATGGGTTAGTAACAATGAAGAAAACAATGAAAAAAGTTACTTAGAAATGTCTCAGACCATGCTACATGCCATACAAATAGCTGCAGGTAGGTGCCATCAAATATTCTTTACATAACTATTAGAAAATAATTTTTTGATAAATCCTAGTTTGATAGAATTAATGAATAAAACACATAACATTAAATATTGTAGGCCTCTACAACTATTTATAAGAATAGACCTAACAACTGCTAACCAAAAACTATCAAGTTCTGACCCTGTTATCTATAACTTTAAGATGTCTTTGAGTCCACCCAGCTCAGATGGGTGCCTGGCTCACGTTAAGTAAACGTAGCAGGCTGGGCATAGTTGAGGTCAAAGAACCAGATTAACTCTACTTCATCTGCCCCATTTGTCTTGGGCAGAATAGGTAAAGATGGTGATATGCAAAAGGGAAAGACTTGACTTAATCCTCTTTACTCCTTGTGGAGCAAAGGGCCACAACCATAACATGTATTGATTTAATTCCAGGTTGACTTAAAATTTCTAACTTTACTATGTTTTACCAGCATTATAGTCCATTACCTTTAACCCTTTCCCCGGCAACATATTTGGTACCCTGTCCCCGGCAACTGGGTGGATCACACCCAAAGACTTTCTTATAGTAAATTGTTTTCTTTGTTCATTGTGGGGTGGATAACAATACTGATACAGTTGGGGTATTCAGGGCACAGAGGCCATGGGGAACACCAGACATGTTGTTGTCAATGGGAGAGCTGTAATATCATAGTAATATGATACTAGTGGTTGATGGATTCTCAAACAAGAGTTAACCTGTGGGTGGACACATGTAGTGATTTATACTCTTTGCTGGAGCTCTGACTTGCAGTTACAGACAGAACTGTAGTTTAGAGTTACATAGGTTAATGAAATGCAGGGGTAAGATTGCCTGTGAGAGGACATATATAGTGATGTGTACTCTTTTAGGGAGCTCTGGAATGTAGATAGAGACATTCGAGCCTTTTAGAGTAACTTGACATTAACCTCATTAGGAGTACGAATGAGGACAAAAAGGCAAAACAACTTTGTAATGCTGCTTGAAAGTTAATACTGGGCAATTAATTGATCAAACTGGGAGTGGGGTGGGTGTTCTACGGGTTGTGACCCTGAGAGTAAGGTTTATAAATAGTCACAAACGTTATTGAGAACACAACAGAAACCAAGTCTTGAACGCTTTTGTCTAATCTCAAGTGCTAATAATAAACGAATGTATTTGCCATTTAGTATAGCAGGTGAAAATGACCAACAAGTTTTGAGTCTGAACTATTAGTATCAGAGGTAGAAGATGAAGAATGGCAGCCATCAGTATCAAGCAGCTCTGATGACGAGGTCTACCCAATATACTGCATTTCAACTATCAATAATATGTCAACAGTTGGCACTCATAATGAAATGAAACGGCTGGTGCAAAGTGAAGAAAAAGAAATATTTTCAGGAAAGACAAAGTAACAGTACACTAGACCACTGCCTGAAGTGCTAATCCCAGGAAATTTATAAACAGCCTGACCCAAAATATTTCTTCTCTGTGCATGAATACAAAAAATAATACAAACCAATATTGACTGCATTAGCAGGGATGGAGAGAAAGCAAGAGGAGACACTGGCACTCTGCAGAATAACAATTTAGTTGTATGTCAATTCAGTTCTGCTTATGAAAATTTTTGAAGGCAGAATTTTCTATGAAGAAATTCAGCAACCTTCTGGGTCATATTCACTTCACAACAATAACACTAACAGTCCATCAGGCTCATGGTATATTTGCTTCCATTATGGTAGATATTCCATTCAAATTTAGAAAGGTGTTATGTTTCTGGAGAGATCATTACTAATTAGCAACTGGTTGATTTTAGAGGTGGGAGTAGATTTATCCAATACATACCAAGCAATTCCGATAAGTATGGAATTAAAATATTTTGGACCTGTAACTCATGTAACACCATTAAAAGGGTGCCCATATTTTATAAAAAAAAACAACTAAAGTTCCCTGCCAGCAAAAGGAAATGTCCAGTTATTTTAATTTTAACTAACAACTGTGCTCTCTGAGGTGCAAATTTTTAAAACGTGTTAATGTTCTATTATTTTGTTACTAAAGTTGATTACTTCAATCCTGTTTGATATTTTTGTTACTCAAATACCTTCAGATTGTTAATTAATAGTTAAACTTTGAAAATGTAACACAATGACTTAACCCACAATGAGTAAAAACAAATTGTTAGAAGCCAGTTTATAAGTTATAAATATTTTTTCCATTCAAAATTGTCTAAGGGTGTGTAGCACCCAGTTGCCAGGGACCGTATAAAAAAATTTCAAACCCTCGCGTAAAATTTTTTTACGCATATTTTTAAAATTTACTATCTCCAATGTGTTCATCCCAACCACCTTATAGATGGGAATGAGGCCCAGAAAAATGTATAAAACGAGACTCGAGATATGAGCAAAAATATAGCGACTTCGGGTCGATTACACCCAGTCGCCGGGGAAAGGGTTAATGAAAAATTTTTAACCCTTTATCAGTAGCTAATTTCATACAAGTAGCATAATTATAGTAATAGTTTATTATTAAGAACTTGAATTTTTAATTATTTTTTTTAACAGCCACTAGAGGGGGTCATAGTTTTACTCAGAATTGGATTGAAAGAAATCCTCATGAGCCCACATCTCTAAATGTGTGTAATGAAAGTGAACCATCTGAAGATGTTGAAGAAACCCTGTCTTTATCAGAAAGTAAGTTTGTCTAGTTATATTTTAACTTCTTGTACAACTGTAAAGCCTAAAATTAATTATCCATCATATATATATATATATATATATATATATATATATATATATATATATATATATATATATATATATATATATATATATATATATATATATATATATATATATTTATATATATATATATATATATATATATATACAAATGTAATATTAACTACTTCTCTAATATTTACTTGTATATTCAGCATTTCTTTCTGGCATCTCTACTGCAACTTTCTCCCCCCCCCCCCCCCCCCCCTCCCCATGAAAAAATGTTAAATTAAATTAGAAAAAAATATTTTTTAACCACTCCCTCCCACCCCCAGAGCAGAAAGTCTGAATGAAACTGGGAATATCTAATAATGTGATTAAAGTTTTTACTTCAAATCTAAATCCAACCCTATGCCTAAACTTAATAAAAACCTTGTTTTTATTTGAATCTACAACATTGAAAATATAAGCTTTATAATAAATTAGTGAGTTAGAAATGTTATGTTTTTTTTTAAATTTTACCTTTTTTTCCCACCTTTTAGGCAGGAGCTATCCATTAATAGAAATAAAACAGTACATTGATGTTCAGAATAAAGAACTAAAGAAGGAAATCGCAAACATCACAAAAGAAGTCGCAGGCTGTAAAAATTACATTGAAACCGAACAAGAAGCCAAAATAGGTTTGATCTCAGAGGAATTAAAAAGCTGTGTAGAAAAAGTACACACGATTCAGATCTCAACAGAGAGCTCAAGAAAAACCTCACAGAGTATGTCTAGAAAAGTTGAAGAAATGAAATCACAGCAGTCCCAACAGAGAACTGAGTTAGAAAATTTAACCAGTGATGTCATGGCCCATTACAGAGAGCTGAAAGCCATTGAAACTCAGACCACCTCCATGGATACAAAGGTTAACTTTAGCTGTAACCAGTACATCTCTATTCAAAAGTAAACCTTTACTATAACCAATGTCTTTACAAAATTAAACTTTAACTATACCCAGAGTCTTAACTAAAGTAAACTTTAACTATAACCAATGTTGTTACAAAAGTAAACTTTAGCTATAACCAATGTTTTTACAAAAGTAAACTTTAACTATAACCAATATCTTTACAAAATTAAACTTTAACTATAACGAATGTCTTAAATAAAAAAAACTTTAATTATAATCAGTACATCGCTTAACAAAAGTAAAGTAACTTTAGCCAATGTTTTTAAAAAGTAAGCTTTAAATATAACTATTTCATTTCTTTACAAATGAATAGAGAATTTTAGAGAATTTTATCATACAAGGATTTTTTTTTAAATCTAACAAGCATTCTATTTCTACTCACAGATGCTGAAAATGTCTAATGAAATGTTGACTATTTCCAAGACTTTAAAAGTCATAGGTCAGTGCTTTTATATATTTATAAATGCATTTAAAATTTGTATAATGTGCTTAAAAACATATAGGCTTATATATATATATATATATACATATACATATATATATATATATATATATATATATATATATATATATATATATATATATATATATATATATATATATATATATATATATATACATACATATATATATATATACATACATATATATATATATACATACATATATATATATATATATACATATATATATATATATATATATATATATATATATATATATATATATATATATATATATATATATATATATATATATATATATATATATATATATATATATATATGTCACTTCCCTACAAACAGTCCCAAATCTATTTTGACTTTTTTCCAGATTTCTTCTCCATTTTTTTTCTAAATCCACAAAGGCATCTTGGTTTTAAAATGTGTGGTCTTATCTTGAACCAATATTACACAAGGATTCCATTCCTACAAAAGCTTAAATTAATAACATAAAAATAAAATGGTATCCAAAATATATTTATAAGACTCTCTGGGAAAATTTAAAAAATGGGATTTAAAACAGTCTGATTCTATAAATAGAGACATTTTATGTTTGTATATATTCACCTATTTTAAGTTAGCTTTGTATATTTGTCTACAGAAGAACAACCAGGAAAGCATGTGATAGCATTTATTGCTAGCTGTATCTACAACCTAAAGGAGCCTTCTGTATTCTCTCCCTTCACCAACTTCACTAGCATCTCCGGCAATGAGTCTGGCCATTTTGACCCCCAAAAAGGTGTTTTCACTGTCCCGGTGGATGGCATGTACCTGGTCTGCGTGTCCCTGGCGCTGGTCTCACCCAGGGGGTCGCTGAGAGTTATCGTAGTCCGTAACATAGGGGATGAGGAGTCTCTGGAAATCTGCAGTGTTGGGTTAGATGAGTCCCAGAAAGAAAACTCCAGTACTCTTCTTAGTAAGCTCAAGATGGGAGACAACCTGCACATCATTCTCCGTGAGAGTTCTGGATACACACAGTTTGAGGCTGAAGTCAACTTTGCTTGTGCCCATTTAAGATAAAAATATTTTTTCTGTTTGCTTTATCAATAATGACAATCTTTTACAATTTATTTGCTAATTGATACATTGAGATCTATTCATATGAGTAACTATTAACTGGGTCAGCTGTGTTTTTATTTTGCATCTTGGTTTCAAAATGTGTGATCATATCTTGAACCAATATTACACAATGATTCCCTTCCTACAAAAGCTTCAATTAATAATAATATAAAAATGAAATGGAATCCATAATATATTTATAGACTCTCTGGGAAAGTTTTTAAAAATGGGATTTAAAACAGTCTGATTCTATAAATATAGATATTTTATGTTTGTCTATATTCACCTATTTTAAGTTAGGCTGAAGTCAACTTTGCTTGTGCCCATTTAAGATAAAAATAAAAAGATTTTTTTTACAATTTATTTGCTAATTGATACATTGAGATCTATTCATGTGAGTAACTATTAACTGGGTCAGCTGTTTTTTTTTTGTTTCTATAAATATAGATATTTTATGCTTGTATATATTCACTTATTTTAAGTTAGGCTGAAGTCAACTTTGCTTGTTTCCACTTAAGATAAAAAATGTTTTTTTTTACAATTTATTTGCTAATTGATACACTGAGATCTATTCATATGAGTAACTATTAACTGTGTCAGGTGTTTTTTGAGTCTAATTTAGAGTGCAAGTCCAGACAGTGCATTCTTTTGACATTGCATTTTTTTTAGAACAGAAAGATGTGTTCCAATATGTACTAATGTACATGCAACTATGAAATTTTGTAACCTCCTTACTTTTAGTTGTTACTTAATTTACCTATTTGAGATGGCAAATGGCAGACTAAACAACTGATAACCCAAAAGTCTTTGAATCCGGGTTCAAATCTCAAGAATGTCCCTGAGTCCACCCAGTGATGGGTACCTGACTCACGGTATGGAAAGTAAAGGCGGCTGGGCATAGTGCTTACCACATTATCCCTTCACATGTCGAGGTCACAGAAACAAGTGAACTCTACTTCCTTTGCTTCACGGGCTGTTAGGTTTTAAAGGAAGCTTTACTACTACCTCTATTTACCACCTATATTACACCTATATTAATATATTTCATCATTATTTCTGCAGTTTATTTTATGATATATATAACATTTGACATGTCTAATGATCTCTTACAAAATATCCCAGCCATCTAACAACGAATAATTATTATCTTTATAGTAATTGACAAGGCCCATGTAATAGTCTATATAAAAATTTCCAGCAAATTTTTTTTATTAAATCAAGCTTTTTGTAGTAGTTATAGAGTAAATATACTTGCATTTATCTATGTTTTTATGTATTATTTTATGATTTTACATAATGAAAAATTCTCAACACATTTATCTTTTTCATTTATAATCTCATGAATAAAAAAATTTATATTTTTTAATACTTTTATCTTTGTTTTATCTTTATACTTGTAAGTATAAATTGACCATGTACTAGACAAGAGAGTTAAAAAAAACAACTATTGGCCATCAGCACTATTATGTAAAGAGAGTTTTAAAACACATCAACATAAGCTTTTAGAAATTAATTTCAAATTACCCATTTAGTTATGTATTTCAACCACTTTGATAAATGTTGTTTTAACCTTCAGGGATTTTAAATTCAAGGAAAATTCAGAATGATAGTTAACACTAAAACCCATGGCCATTATTTTCCCCTAGTCATCTCAGCTCTGAAGACCATAAATGGCTTCATGCTATTTGGACAATTTTTACCTCCCTTCTCAACAACGAACCCGAAATTCTTGAGTTCTGATCCAGGGCTCCTGTCTGTAGGATGTTTTGAGTCCACCCAGCTCTGATGGGTACCTGACCTGACTCCCATTAGGGAAGGTAAAGACACCTGGTCCTATAGTGTTGACTACATTATCCTTTCATAAGCTGATGTGAAACTCTACTTCACCTTCTCCATGAACCATAGAGAGAGAGAGAGAGAGAGAAGTATTTATAGTTACATAAATCAATTCTGTAAGTAATTCTTTCGTGTTATTGCTTTTGTTTATTTCATTTTTTGGAGGGGGGGGGGGTGGGGGATGGGGGCTATCCATGGGAATAGGGAGTTCTAACGCCCCTGCCACTTCATAGGCATGCGCTTTGGTAACAATGCCTACAAGTTTGACTGGGCTTGGATTTCCACACCTTGGATTTCCACACATCTTACCCCCCCCCCCCCCCCTCAGATGGCTTCTAATGGGGCGGGGGAGGTCACGGACACTGGTATATTGATTATAGATGTTTTTCCTATTTCATCTGGAGGGGCAGTGTCCATGCTCCACATCCCCCCTCCTATCCCGGGGGGGGGGGGGGACAGACACTGTTAAAAGTATATATTTTCTATATAAGTTCCATTTCTTTGGGGGGGGGGCGGTAGACTCTGTTCGGAAGGGGGGGGGGCGAAAAGATGCCTGGAAGAAACACTGTCCCCGCCCAAGACACACACATACCAGTCCACCTATCAGGAAATGTTCTGCAGAAGCTTCTGCTTGAGTTGATAACGATATCTGGAGTAGGCCATATCACTGAATAATTGTGTCGACCTACACACTCACTACACAGCAAGCTGTTGCTTGACATACTTGTCTCAAAGAGACAACACTGCACACAAAATATAGCTAGCTACGGCATAGTCTTGCAGGAGTTTCGCAGTCAGATTCGGTGATTACAAATCACAGAAAGTAAGTTTTTGTTAAGTCTCGTTTCAGTCCGTGCAATGCTTTCACGTCACCCATAGATCTAGATCTAGATCTAGAATCTACTTGCTTTTCTAAAAAAAAAATCTTTACGATTAGCCTAAACTTAAAAAGTAATAAAGGAAGACTACTCTTGGAACTCAGTATTTATTAAACGCGTGCAAGATCTAGATGAGTATGGCATTAACTTCCCTTGATTTCCTGGAAATAATTTCTTTCCTCTAAAACTAGACATGATGTTGGTCAAATTACTAAATTAGTAAGACTATAAATACTAAAATAGATATAATAAGTAGAATATAAATTGGCATAATTTAATTAAACTGCACCTACTAATCTTATTAAAAAATTGCTTTTATTTTACCACAATCACATATTTATTGCGATATTTATATTTTATTTAATAAATTATTTATAGTTAGGGGCCCTATACAACTTGTAGCTAAATTTACTAAATTTGTATATAATATTTATATTAGACTAGGCCTATGGCCTATAGTAAAAGCCATAAGCTATGTTTCGACAGACACCTCCCCTCCCATGTAGTAGATCTAGTAGCACACTTATACTTTTATATAGGCCTATAACTTTTTATGACCTTCTCTAATCTGTAAAATTTACAGATTGTTTGCTACAAACATGAGATGTTACAATAAAAATAAAATATCATATGGGATCACGTTAGTTTTAAAGAAAATTTTAGAAATAGTTGCAAAACCAAACATGCGTACACTTTTACTTACATTGATTTTTAAAGATAGAATGTTGTAACCTATTTTTGTCAACTTATTCACCAAAAACTTTGCATATGTCTAATGATACATTTTTCTTACATTCTACTATTTCCTGTCATATATCATGACATATGATACAGTATAACAAATCCATGTATCACCCAACTACTCACAATGTTAAAAACTTATGTCATGGATATTTATTTTTACTGTTATAGACATAATAGGCAGTGGTTTACAACTGGGAAAGCATTTTTCTTTCACATAGAACACTTTTCAAAAGTAGGCTATGTGGAGGTTAGGGAGATAAGGTGCTGAATAATGCATAACTTATTGAAAAATATTAGGTATAAGCAACACCAGTTTAGATTTTAAATTTTAAAAACTATGCATTAGATGCAAATACAGGGGCGTAGCGAGGGGGGGCGGGGGGTGCGGACTGCACCGGGTGACACCATTTAGGGGGGGTGACACCAAGGCAAAAAATAGCAAAATATATAGAGAAAAACTCGAGGGGGGGGGGGTGCAAATCGAAAGTTTGAGGGGGGGTGCAAATCGAAAACTTGAGGGGGGGGGGTGCAAATCGAAAGTTTGAGGGGGGGGTGCATATCGAAAATTTGAAAGTTTGTCCCTGGGAAGGGTCTCTATGCCTCTGGGGGGGTGACACCATTAAGTGCCGCACCGGGTGACACCCGACCTCGCTACGCCAATATGCAAATAGCATATATCAAGGTATATTTTTAAATGTATCTTTTATGCGTGCAATATAATAAATAAGATGCCAGCTTAACATCTATCCACATTTTAAATATTACTTTATTGGTGCAATATAAAAAGAATAATTTTCAGATCTAGCGATCCATTGGTTGATGAAGTAGAGTTTATGTTTCTTGGCCTCTGAAGGGAAGGTGTGGTCAACACTTTGCCCAGCCACCTTTACTTTCCCTAACATGAGTTAGGTACCCATCAGAGCTGGGTTGGCTCAGGGATGCTTGCTCTACAGTCTTGGACACGGATTCGGACTTTTGGGCTAGCAGCCTAGCGCTCTATCGCTTAGACCACATCATCCCTTATTGGTGCAATATAATTAATTTTGCTTATTGTCCTACAGCATAGATCTCTAAGAAAATTAACTACTTCAATCTTTTTTAAGCTGGAACATTTTAATATCTCTAAACTAAAAAGTTAGTTTTTTTTTTTTTCATCAGAAAGATGGCAACCAAAAGCCAAGCTCAAATCAGACATTTAAAAAGTCAACTGGCAACTCTAGAGGAGCAAAAGGAAACTATTCTTGGTCTGATCAATGGCTATGCCATGAATGTAAATATTTAAATAGCTGTCTGTTCACACAATACAATTACCCCTATTAAATGTAGTAGATCTACTCATGCTATGTTAAACATATTTGTCAGCTGTTTAAAATTTAGTTTTTCCAGATTGTTTTTTTTAAAACCTAATACTAATGCTTATTCTGCAGAAAGTTTTAGGATTATTTAAAGTATTTATTATTCATATATATTTCATATATTATCATATGTAATGTATTTTTTTCATTACTTAATTTGGCTGTACATGTTTATCTAACATAGTCTCTTACTCGTTGACAAACGTTTTTTTTTTTTGTGGGTTTGTTTTATGCAGCCAACTTAGTTTTTGTTTTCACTTGTTACATTAGAAAGATGATTTTTATTTTTTAGAAATTGAAGCTAATTAGACAAGCAAGTGAAAGTATTTCTTTAATCACCTGTAGTGCATATCAAAGTTCCTTTTTGCAGACTTCTCCAACTCTAGACTACACTATATTATTACCCTATGTTCTTACAAGTATTCAAATAATGTATATTTACATGAAGTAATATGAGCATTGTGGCCCCATTACTACCCCTCCCCTTCCGCACACACTCAAACAAACTGCTAATAATATCCTGATTTTTGCATGGACTTGACAGCCTATGCAGTGCATAACAAGTTGACACGTAATACTTTTTTTGTGTTGGAAGAAATACCTCCCACCATTACAAATAAGAATGAAGAAATAGAAGCTCTAAGATAATGAATAGATCTCTCTATCTATATATTATTTTTTATTAATTTTAAAAAATATTTTCATGCTTTAGCAGATCTTGATAACTCAGTATAAAATGTATGCTATGTTATGCTAATGTTACAGTACGTAAGTAAAGTTTGTCGTTAGACCTGTTTTGACCTCGTCATATGAAGGGATAGTGTGGTCAACACCAGTGTTTCTTCCAGACTTTTTTCTCCGGGGGGGGGGGGGGGCACTTGCAATTTTTGGGGGAGCGGTAGACTTTCTTCGGTAGACACTGTTAAAAGTATATATTTTCTATATAAATTTCATAAATTTCATTTCGTTCAGGGGGGGCAGTAGAATTTTTTCAGGGGGGGGGGGGCGCTCTATCCCCCCGAAGAGATGCCAGGAAGAAACTCTGGTCAACACTATGACCAGCCACCTTTCATTTTCTCCAATGTAAAGTGCCCTTCAGAGGTGGGGGACTCAGTGTCTTCCTACAGTCACAAGACCCAACCAAGATCTCCATACCTTGGGGCTAACAACCAAATCCTCTACCATTCGCTCACGCCACCCCACTTAATGACTTATGTTTATGTGATATATTCAACAGGTTATTAATGAAGTAACATGTTGGATTGAAAGACCAGGTGACAATGTAAGGAGCTTTAAAGATGTTTGCACTCTTGTTTCTTCTGCAACTTCTGCTCTAGTGGACAACCAGGAGCTCTATTCTGGTACTCTACATAATGTACTGTTGGCTTAGCCGTACCACACTAGTTATTACATTACTTAATTAATGGTAGAGAACATATGCAATATGTTATTACTGGGCTAACAAGTTTCTACATGTTTTCATATTTTAAAATTTTACTACTCTAATTTGACTGATGTCTTTACTTTAAAATTTCTGTTTAATGTATTTTAAAAAGGAATTTTATGTGTTTTATTGAATTAATTTTGTTCATAATTTGTCATTATTGCAATGCCAAAATTAAAGCATTACAAGATAAAGTAAAACAATCATATCATCATCATTCTTTTGTGGCCCCTGGGGAGCAAAGGGCTGCAACTTCACATTTCCAGCGGACTAAGTTTTGGGCTGCTCCCTTAACCTGTGCCCATGTGAACCCAGCTGTTTTTGCCTCTTCCTCAACAGTTCTTTTCCATGTTTTCTTTGGCCAGCCCACTTTCCTTTTTCCCTGGGGACTCCAGTCCATAGCATGTTTTGCGATGTTTTCTTTTTCTTTTCTTAACGTGAATTCGATCCATCCCCATTTATGGGCCTTGATATCTTTCTCTATTGGCTGTTGCTTTAAAATTTGCCACAGGAATTTGTTTGATATTTTATAAAATACCATCTCTTCAGCTCATTTAATAAAAATTTTTATCATAAAAGATATGGTAACATGTTTCTGATATGCCTATTAGTTAAATATTTAGACAAATAAAAGAAATCCAGATTGTCAAAACAGTGATGAATTTAAATGTAGCAGAAATCACATTAAGTACAATAATTTATATAAACATTATTGTTTTACAGAAGTAAACTCTGAGAGCACAGCTTCCAACACTGAATGGTCTACTCTTGCTGCGACAAGTTCCTTTGTATCATCCTCAGCTGAGTCCAGACCAAATAATTGTAAGAGTAAGAGCCTCTTGAATTAAATTTAAAGAATCTTTTTTATCTTTTTTCTAAATGATCAAGTAATTTTTTTTTTTTGGTATTAGATTTTTATTCTATTAAGTTGAATTCAAAGAATATTTTTACCTTTTTTTTTAAAACATCAAGTACTAAATAGTTAATTTCTGGTGCCAGATTATTATTCTAATGCTGATATAACTAAGGATTAAATTAAATGATTTTATAAAAATTAAAATTAATTCAGCTTTTCAAAAACAACCATGCTTATACTAGTGTGATACATGCCATAATATCATAAATATAAATTTATTTTATTTACTTAAAATGAAAACCCATAAAAGTTAATTAAACCTCTTCAAATTTTTTACTTCAATGTTTTTTAAGTAACTTAGAAAGTATGTTCTTTTTTTATACACCACATATATTTGGTATTGAAAAAATTAAATCTTTATTTTATTAGATTCTTATACTCAAAGAATCAATGTGTTATTTATATTCAGGCATTTGGCCATTGGGGAAATCATTTTTCAGGAAAGATGCTTTATGCAATTCTTACAGAAAAATTAAATTCTTTTATATGACATTTTTTTTCAATAACTCTTCAGATGAACATTTAACTAAAATTATACCAAGATTGGAGACTCTTGAAGAGGCTGTAGCTTCCCTCAGAAGAGCTTCACAAACATCTCTACAGGAGCAAGAACATCTCAAGGAACAGTTGAACAATCTCTCAACACAGCAAGAAACAGCTGAGTTAAATTTTGAAACAATGACAAAAAAACAGTCAAGACAATACAAAACATTGAAAAACCAGCTTCTTGAACAAGAAAAAGTTGTGATGGCAATGAAAGAAGAAACCATACTTCAAAATGAAAAGCAAATGAAAATCAATGCACAGTTTGAAACAGTCTCCCAAGAATTAAACAAAAACAAATCTGAAGTCAATAAACAGTTGGAAACACTTGCGAGAAATATTAAAGATCTAACACAAGAAACATCTAAAACAATTCATAGCTTACAAGAAGAAAATCTTTCTTTAACTGGGGAAATTAAACAATTAAATAAAAAGGTTGGTAATTAAAGTTTAAGAACTATAAAATTTAGAGCAGAATTAGTTTACTATTATTGTTACCCTGGTAATTTAGAAAGTTACAATTCTTATTGATACCACTGTTATTAAAATAAGATGAATAAAGAAAACTAATTATTAGTAAATTACTTAATGTACTATGTTAGTATTATATAGATCCATATTATCACTCATGTATTGAAAATAATTTTTATTTTATTATTAAATTTTTTATGTGCTTTTCAGAATGAGATGACCTGCAAAATGCTGATACAATGGATAGGTCCAATAGAAAAGTTGAAGGAAACTTTTAACAAAACAATAGCTCAAAGAGAAACCAACAATGAGAAGGTAGTTACCCAGCATGCATTGAATATGTAAATAATGGCCCTCTACTAAGGATGGAATTTTAAAAATAGAAGGTTGATTTCTAAAAAAAAAGTCAGCTTCAATATTTTAAACTTAGGAAAAGACCAAATTTAAAGTACAATAACTAAGTTAACCTGTGCAGTAACTTCTGTTTACCCTTCACACAAATCAGGACATAAACATGTCATTAACTCTTGAGCAACCAGCTAAAGATAATCAATTTAAACAGTTCAAACGTATTAACAAAATTAAAAAGATTTTCACTTCTTGTAAATAAAAAGCTAGATATGCATTTTGCATCAAATTAATTGCATTTTAGTAAAAACTCCACCCCCTCCCCTTTCTAGTCTAAGTAGGATAGTTTCCCTTTTTGTGTTTAAGAATTTGACAGCCTCTTCAAAATGAATCAAATATACAATGTTTAAATCTTGTCAATTCTCAGCTTAATAGCTTAACTAAAGAATATTCAAACATGGCTGCAAAAATCAAAACAAGTGAGTACTAAGTATTCTTTCATTTCCATCCTCTCTTTATGAATTATGTCATTTCATCATTTTGATATTCATTGATTTGTTTCTAAAAAAAATGTAAACACTAACCATTGGGTTACGTTATTTGTTGTCACCTTTTTTAGTTTACGAAAGAGTCACATTACTAAAAGTACAGCGCTTAGAACTTTTAAAGTTAACCCTATGATTCTTGAATTATTTTCATGGTAAATTATAAAGTTAAACCTATGATGCTTGAATTATTTTCATGGTAATTTATAAAGTTAACTCTATGATGCTTGAATTATTTTCATGGTAAATTATAAAGTTAACCCTATGATGCTTGAATTATTTTTATTGTAATTTATCACCTTTTCCCTTTTGTACCCTGGACACATGACATCATCACTTTCCATTAGTGCCCAAGACAAATGGGGCAGATGAAGTAGAGTGCATCTGCTCCTGAGACCTATGCATATGAAGGTATAGTGTGGTCAGCACTACGCCTAGCCGCCTTTGTTTCCTCAACGTAAGTTAGGTACCCATAAGAGCTGGGTGGATTCAAGGACGTTCCACTTATTAGAATAGAACCTGGACTCAAACTCAAGACTTTCGGGTTAGCAGTCTAGCTCTCTACCGCTATGCCACGCTGTCCAAGTTCATGGTAATTAATTCTTTTACATTTAAATATTATCTCTTTATACTCCAACAGGTGAAAAGAATCACAGTTGCAGTACAGGATTCACTGCTTACCCTAGCCTCCTTAACGATGATGGGAGCTCACCAATTATTCAATGCCCAGTCGTAGGCTATAACTCAGGTCATTACGACCCAAATACAAGCATCTTCACTGCACCAGTTGATGGCCTCTACCTTGCCAGTTTTGTTTTATACCAGGCTGGCAGTGGCGCTCTAAACGTTCACATGATGCGGCAATTCAACAATGAGGAAAAATGTGTTGGTATATTGCGTACTACAAAGGACTATGCTTGTGCTTCAAATATAAGTGTTTTACCTATGAAGACTGGGGAGAAATTATTTGTGAAACTGTACAATAGAACAGATTTTGCTATCATATTAGACTATACTCATTTTTCCTGTTTTTTAATCAGTCAATAGATAATGTGTTAAACCTTTTTATACAAAAAATAATATCAAATGCGATGGCATGGTCAAGTTTTCAACTGACTTTTCTTGGATTCAGTTCTTATGTTAGAACCAGTAGGGCATACTTGGTTCCACCTAGCTCTTATTAGCATATAAATAGTAAGTAAAATGGCTGAGCATTATTGTCCACATGTAGTTTCGTACTGTATTTATCAACCATTAACAATTTTTAGTAAATGTTGAAAATTTCTTTAGTTTTTAAAACATAAATCATTTAGTAAAACTATTATGTTACATTTATAAGGTTGTTATTGATGTTTTATTAACTTACATGGTTTTAAAAGTATTTTACTAAAAAAAGTTAAGAATTATTTCTTGTAAACAAGACATTTTGTTTTATTCATTGCATTGTTTTAACATTTTCATTTATTTTGTGGCAATTAAGTAAAGAATCCTCATTAGACGTAGCCCTCCATTAGGTAGATGAAGTAAAGTTCATGTTCCTTGGCCGCAGTATATGAAGGGATTGGAAGGTGTGCTCAGCATTTTGAACAGCCGTCTTTACTTTCCCAAACGTGAGTTAGGGGTACCCATCAGAGCTGGGTGGACTCAGGGACATTCTACTGACCTGGATTCAAACTTGAGACCTTTGGGTTAGCAGCCTAGCCCTCTACCACTTAGGCCACGTTTACGGCAATTAATCATTAGGACTTTGCACACTTTAGAGGCATAATGAAAAAAACTTTTACTGTGTATTTGAGAAACAAGGTCACCACAACACCATGAGTTTTATAAAAAATGTGTGGGTGTTATCCTCCAAATTGATAGAATAACCACCATTGTCAACACAAGTAATTTGTGAATGACATAGTTTTATATTTCTACATCTCAGACTTCTCTTTACCTTTGCCACTTGACAAAAACCCTCATAGCCTACACTTTCTTGAAGGAATTACATTTGAGTAAATCAGAAAATGTGATTTAAAAAATTTCAAATATTTAAGCTAACGTAAAATTTTTGCAAAGACATCACAGAAACATTTTAAAAATGAACACAATTGAATATTTTACTCGTTTAATACTAATAGCCATTAAACTTATAAAATAAAATTACACAGTACAACAGATAATTTTGTGTTTGGGGAAAAGAACAAGCATCATGAAATAAGGTATACAAAGTCAATTTATTAACTTGTACAACAAAGAAAGAAGAAAACAATGAAATCATGACAAAGAAAATCCTTATACAATTATGTTTTAGATTAGGTACCTAAGGTAAAGGTTAGTTTAGTTTAGCACCCAAAGAAAGAACTTCTTAAGCTCATTCCTTACCTATCAATACAAAGGTTAAACACATTACACTACCAAAATGAATGCATAAATATACATCGACACAGTACAGAAAGTCATGTGTGCACTTTTGAAAATTCTTTTAATAAAATTCAAATTTACATGTTTTATTGTGTGACTGTTCATGTTTTTAGAGTTTGAACCCTACATATATTAAATTTAACTTTAAATACAATTTGTACAAACTGAACATGACTAACTAAGTACAACCAAATCTCAAATTAGCCATATATCACTATAGTATATATCTATTTAAAAAAACTAATAATTTTTTGTCATTCATAATTAAAAATAAACACAAATTATTTGCATTAGAAAATATTAATTTTATATAACAAGAAATTGCTTTAATTTTTAAAGTAAAGCAATTATCCAACATCAAATAGGACCTCTTCTCTTAGCCAGGTTATAACTTTAACAACTAAATAGGGATTTAAAAAACAACAATTGCAAAAAGCATGTTGAGTGCCACTATTTTTTCTAATCCATCAAAACATACTGAAATAATATCAAGATATTGGTAAAACTCATTATTTATCCAACATAGGGTTAGTATTAATAAGTGGTAGAAAAATAAACAACAGCCTTGCATGACTAAGTTCAGCATAAATTTTGTAGAATGTAACACTATGAGTCATGAAACAGTCCAGAAGTAAAAAAAATTAAAATAACCAACAGTTTAAAACTGTGTACAATTAAGCAGAATAATGTATTGTTTGTGCTGCACCATTTATATGTTCACATCTATCCAAACTTGTACCATACACTTACTGGGCAGGGTAAAGCTCAGCTCTAACCAACAGAAACTTCTATCCAAATTTGCATCATACCCTTACTGGGCATGGTAAAGCTCAGCTAAAACCAACAGAAACTCCTATCCAAATTTGAACCATACCTTTACTGAGCAGGGTAAAGCTCAGCTAAAACCAACAGAAACTCCTATCCAAACTTGAACCATACCCTTACTGGGCAGGGTAAAGCTCAGCTAAAACCAACAGAAACTCCTATCCAAATTTGAACCATACCTTTACTGAGCAGGGTAAAGCTCAGCTAAAACCAACAGAAACTCCTATCCAAACTTGAACCATACCCTTACTGGGCAGGGTAAAGCTCAGCTAAAACCAACAGAAACTCCTATCCAAATTTGAACCATACCTTTACTGAGCAGGGTAAAGCTCAGCTAAAACCAACAGAAACTCCTATCCAAACTTGAACCATACCCTTACTGGGCAGGGTAAAGCTCAGCTAAAACCAACAGAAACTCACCAAACGCGTTTTTGCTCTTATAACGTGATTGGAGTTCGTAAAGCCGGAGATACTGCATGTAAGAAAACGTTTTACGTGCATAAGCATTGCGTTGTATCCTTTTCTTAACAGTGCGCCACAAACTGTGCATAGTTCTGGTATTAATTTCATTCTCCAAACCTGGGCCCATCTTTTCCTCGGTTATGTGCTGCAGTATACCAGTGCTTATTTTAGTTAAATTCCCAAATGGTTTTTGGGTTCTTGTCATGACGATAGACCCTGGTAACACATGATCAAAAATGGCATTTGCTAAGGTTTCCTCATTGCTGTCAGGAAGCTCAACATAAAAGCTTTTTTTTGAAATGCGCTCAACACCACCTAGTACACATTCCCCTTTGTTTGCAGAATCTGGATTATATTTCTCTTTAAAATGAGTTGTCACATCTAATTCAACAATAATAGGCTCATCTTTAGTATTAATGCCACCGATTTCTGTTTTATTTTCGGCAAGGTAACGTTCAATGTCTTTATGAAAGGAACCGAGCCATTCACACGCTGTTTTCGGATGGTCAAGGCCCAGCTCTGTACAAATTATCCGTGTAGGGAAATTATTGGCAAAAAGGTAAATCAAAAGAACAATCTGAGGTAACGGCAAATGGTACCCCCTGAAAAATGACCCATCTCTTAACGCCTTCCTGCGCTCACATTTCGTACAGCACCAACGTTTTAAATCCATACCACTCGGATACGACTCAAGCTGACACGGACACCAGCAGAGGTCGCACAGGTGGGTATTGGAGATCAGCCTCCGCTGTGCTAGCCAAACCATGGCCGCCTCAACACTAATCACAGCTTGCGCCAGTGATGTAAAACACCACTTCTGATTGCGTATTGTCTCTTCATCAAAAACATCACAAGGGTTTATAATACACTTACTGGCTCTTTTCTGTTTCCCAGCTGCTTTCTTGCGACCGCTATCACCTTCTGACTCAATATCCACTGTTAATTTTTCCATAGAAGCAGCATATTGCCTTATTAATGAAGCCTGGTGAAAGCCATCTTGTTCAAACTTTTTGCGGTAAAATGTGCGATAGGGACCACGCTTTTTCCCCACAGTTTTCTTCTGTGGTCTTTTTTTAATCCGACGTTGACGAGCAGTTTGACGTTTCTTTGTTGAATTTCCTTTGGTGTTCACTTTGCCAGCAGCAGTTGGACGTTTATTAGATAAATTTCCTGTCAAATTCATTTTGCTATCAGCAGGTTCGCTTTGTTTAGACAAACTTCCAGTCAAATTCACGTAAGTATCAGATTGATATTTTGTTAATGATTCTATTAAAAACTTCACGCTGCTATCATCTGTTTGACAGTCCTTGGATGAATTTCCTGGCAAATTTGAACTCCCAGCCCCCACAACTTTTTGACCATCCTTGGATGAATTTCCTGGCAAATTTAAACTCGAAGTTCCCACAACTTTTTGACCATTCTTAGATGAATTTCCTGGCAAATTTAAACTAACAGTCCCCACTACTTTTTGACCATCCTTAGATAAATTTCCTGGCAAATTTAAACTCCCAGTTCCCACAACTTTTTGACCATCCTTGGGTGAATTTCCTGGCAAATTTAAACTCCCAGTCCCCACAACTTTTTGACCTTCCTTTGATGTATTTACAATTTTTAACCTGATAACACCTGGTCCACATTCCTTGGGTGAATTTCCTACCACACTCACATTGCCTTTCTGTACTGTAGTTGCATCCCCAGAGTTGTGTGGTTGAGAATCAATGATCACTTTCTTGTATTTTCCTGACTTTATTAAATCATTTATAGTTAAACCAGCTTGAGTGCCTTGAGAAACAGACGAGGCAGCAGTTCCATTTGTTGCCATGTTTTAGCAGGCCAATAAATTTAATGGTGTCTTTTTTCTGCAATCTGCAATGTAAGAAATGGTCGAGTCAAATTAGTCATTTATCTGATAGGATTGAAAGGCAGCAAGCTTTCAAAATATAATGGAGCAGTATTTGAAACGAAATGCTGCAAACTCATAATTTTATTAAGTGACTGGAGATTTTAAACATTTAATGGTTCGAAATAGCTTCATCATCCTTTTCCTTTTTTGATTTGACACATCGAGCAAAAAATACCTCAGAACAAAAGATCCCCAAGACAAAGTACCTCACACAAAATTTAAAATAGCCTAGACAAATCAGTCTTTGATCAATTTTTTTTGTTTTCCCAAAGGTACCTTGGAATGTCTTTAGCTTTAATAAGTGCCAAATATCTAGACCTAGAGAGATCTATACTCAGCTTTTCAAACATGAGAAACACTAGATCTAATGCCTCACAATTTAGTGTTTTTAACGGACCAAAAATTTGAAAATTAACAATCAATCAGTTTGAAGATATGCACTTAAAATTTTTAGCTGAGTAGGCTACTCCAAAATATAGTAGAAGATTTTGATTTCCTTGTTTATTGGGCTTAAATTAAAATATAATACTTTATGAATGGTGGAAATCCTACTGTTATTTTTCATAATGGTTGCCGCTGTCATAGGTAACAAGATTTTTCCACCAATTTTTTTTAATGGAAACAAACAATGCGGATGTACCTTAAAAAAAAAACCGTAGAGTAAAATTTGTTCCCTAGCGAGTATTAAAAAACTTTTTTTTTTACCTTATTAGGGTGAAGCATTAGGGATGAGGATTAGGGCAGAATAGGGTTAGTGTACTGTTAGGGTTAATTTTTAGGCATTAGGGTTGAGGGTTAGTGAGATAAGGTTTTAGATCTAAAAAAAAATTAGTTCTAAATCTAGATCTATGGTTAGGGATTTTAGTAAAAAAAACAATCATATGAAAATAAAAATTACATATTCTTGTAGAGATCAACTATATGAAAACAAAACAAAAAATATTTTCTGTCTAGCTCATATAGTTTTTTTAAAGTAACATTTTTGTGTGGGGTGGAATCCCCTGGTTTTTGCATTTGCCATTTGTGACAAGTCATGGTATACCTGAATAAATGAGCAGTTATTTCACTTGCAGTTTTATTTTGTTCATATATGCAGTTATGATATATATGATATGTATATATGGTATATATAACTTGTATATGTTGTTGAAATGAATAAAAATAATACAGAAAGTACATTTTTGTGTTGATTTCCTTTCCTAATCCCAAAAGACTCTGTGCTGCGCAAATATATGAAAATGTTTCTAAATCAATGTTTTATATAAAAACTTTGAATGAAAGAACTACATAGTCAGAAATCTAAAGTAAATGATTTGAGCACTATAATGTGCATATATCTGCCTTATTATTTTGAGCCATTTATTATATAACTGAAGTTATCAGATCAATGTTTTTATGTGCGTATTGTGTATGAATTCTGATTTTTAGCATATAACTATTAATAAGGGTAAGTAGAACTTGAAAACACCTCTGTAACTCTCACTATGAATAGTTTTTAACTGTTATTTGAATATTTTATACAGAAATATTAGAATTGGTAGCAAATATGTCTATTTATAAGTCCATTCATATCAAACTTTGATCCATTATTGCTCACAGTGGGATATGAGCAATTAAAAGTAACCTGTCATGTAGGTGGCGACTTTTTTATTGCTGAAATTATGAACTGAAATTGAATGGGATAGACTAAAGAACATATATGTTTATAAAAAATGCTATTTTCTTTATTAAATACATTTGGGGGGGGGGGGGGGGAGAAGAAGATGTAGGCGTAAGGAGACTGAAAATTTTCCTGTTTTGCCTCGACACGATAACTTATAGTGAACCACAACACAGTAATTATTCTAGCGTTTTGTTGGGAAGAGTTATCTCCCTTATTTATTTCTTTTCATTGCTTTAATTATATTATTTTTGACATTTATAAAACTATTACGCACTGAAACACAAAACTACACAGGTAAAATGTTAATAGTAAAAGATTATTTAACTGAGCTAAAAAAAAAAGCAAAAATATTATATAATCGGAAAGAGGAATGACAGATCGTATGGAGGCAAATTGTGTTCGCATTCAGGACGACTAGGTCGTCGGTTTCGGGGGCATATATTTAAAAGTTATAATGCGAATGGAAAAAAGTGAATAGTATTTGCCCTACTAATTAGTATCGGCCCTATTCTATACATACTACATACATACATTGCATACATTATCACATTCATAAATTTGAAAATAAAAAATAAGTAGGCCTAGGGTAATCTATTGTTTTAGGTAAGTAAAATCGCCCGCGACTAGTAATGTACGAAAAAGTTACCTCATTGTCAAGGCTTTAATAGAAGTAGAATCTATATTGTGATATATTAAATATTTGTGTCAAATATTATAGACAAATGAATAATAAACCTAAATCAATGGCTAAATATATCAAGATAGGCAAGAAATTAACTTTAAACGGCAGTCTTTGCGAGCAGGATTTGCTATATAAAAAGCTGCCATCTGTAAGTTAGAGTATCTTCCCCTGAATCTTGCGCTATAAGTTAACAATAAAGAAAATAAACAAGATGGCTGTTATAGTAAATGAGCATGGTTGCATCTGTTGGAAACATAGCTAGTCTTCATTTATTACTGAAAAGTCTTATCTTAACTCAGTTGTTTAAAAACATATAGATCTACATAAATTAAAAAAAGTCATAAATGAAACAAGGAAACATTTTTGTATTTTTCAAAACATAAATCCTCCTCAAAATGTGAAATAATTATTAAAATTTAAGGAGTCACCTGTTTTTCACATCTAGTCGCTGGCGATTTTACGTACCTAAAAATTACTAAAAAACGATAGATTTTAGATTACCATAAGTAGATCTAGATCTAATCCTAGTGTTTTCTAAATGTTTTTGTGTTTCAGTTGTGTTTATAATAAAATACGCTCAATTGGAGGTGAAGATCTACGTGAAACAGCGAATAAGATACGCTAAAAAAAGCCAAGGCATTTGGCTTTGCCATGATTTGGCGGCATTTGGCAAATGCCGGAGTTTAATTTTCCTCTATTAAATAATAATGCTAAGTCTATCTATACTGTACTCTATACTGATAATGTTAGCATAAATAATGCTTAGATCTTATATTCAAATAATTACCAATTGTAACTACACTATCTAGCTAGAGTAGATTTCTAGACTTAGTGACCAGCGAATGGGCCCTAGAGAACTAATTTAGCAGCCATCTTTAAAAATATTGTGACATAAAATCTAGATTCAATTTCGGTGTCGAAACGAAATTAGACTAGTCGCTAATGACGCTAGGCCTATCACCTAGCCGGTCTGGCTTACTCTCAGAATTAGGCCTAGCTAAACATAGTTAATTATAATTATACGGAATGTACGCCTAAACACTAATCTATTTTTAGTTTTTCTTTGCATTGGTTCAAGTTTCAAGACGCTCAACCATTGAACCAACCTCTGTCCACGTCCTCAGGTTTTCTCAGTGGTTGAGTAAGGCCGGACACTTCCCGTCTTCGGCACTAATTACTACGCTTAAAAACCCTCTAGACTCTAGACACAGTAGGCCCTATAATATATATATATATATATATATATATATATATATATATAGCCTATATAAATATATATATATATATATATATATATATACTATATAGCCTATATAAATATATATATATATATAAATAAATTCTATTTGTTCATGGGGGGGGGGAGGGGGTCTGCCACCCCGAAAAGATACCTGGAAGAAACTCTGGTCTTGTCTTAAGTTTACACATAATCTTAAAAAAAGATATTTCAAAGCCTCAAGTTTTCATTTATGGTAAATATTAGTTAAAATACTTGATTTTAAAAAATAAGAAATTTTTTTCAAGTAGGCATACTAGATCTACAATTATTAAATGCCGCGTAGAGTTTTAGAAGATAGATTTTGAAAAACACCACAACAAAAACAAGTGACCTGAAGAAACAGTGGAAAAAGAGCTAACAAATTATAGAATAGTAGCCCAGCAAGATTTTCTTTACACCTAGCGATCCATTGGGCAGATGAAGTGGAGCTCATGTTTCTTCACCTCAGTATATGAAGGGAAGGTGTGATCTGCACCTTGCAAAGCCGCCTTTACTTTCCCTTACATGAGTTAGGTACCCATCAGAGATGGGTGGACTCAGAGACATTGTACTGACTTGAACCAGGATTTGAACTCCAGACTTTCAAGTTAGCAGCCTAATGCTCTACTGCTTAGGCCACTCGAACTTCATCATTCTGCATAAAATGGCCTGATAACATTTCCACCACCAGCCTATAGCAAAATGTCATTGCCATGTGAAGATTGAAGACCAAGCTGAGTGAACAACACCCTGTGTAAGCCAAGCGAGATACACAAGCGTCAACAGCAAAGTACTGACTTAACAATTCACTTTCCTTGTTGCCATTTGTACAAACCAGGGAGACACATTTAAAAAAGAATTTGATAGAAATAAATGTTAACACAGTAAACAAGGTCATTAAATTTATCATATTAATTATTTTATCTATTTCATAATTTATTTTACAATTAGCCAAATATGGAAATAAATACACAACATTTTTTATAACAAAAAGAAATATGGCCTAAAGTGACCAATTATTTCTTTCATTTTTCTAGTTTCATAAAATATAATTTTACTTCAGTACCCTTTTCAGTCAACAAATTAACAAATTCACTTACATATTATGTACAATTGAATTTAGAATAATCACCACAACATTTTGTATATCTTTAGAGCCATCCAGGGCTACAGTAATTTCCCCTACCCTCTTGATGGCCATTATGAATATGACTAAACCAGAACACAGTTTTACTCGGAATGTAAACATGAGCTCCACTGCTCCCTGTGCAGGTAGGTGTGTCATACACATATCTAGACCTGTGAGACTCTGTGTGTTCTTTTGTAATCCACCTGCCAATTGAAACATGCTTATGACATCCATGAGGGTGTGAAACAATAATGGCAAGATTTTCTCGGTCATTCAAATAGAATCTGTTACTGACCTTTCTACGCAAAGTTTTAAATTTTTGCAATTTCTTCAATAGCTTTTCACCCAACTTCATGTCATGCGTAACACATTTCATACGACAGCTATCATGCTGCACATCTGAATTCGTTACATCAATGGCATCAAGTGTAACAAGAGGGCTGTCACGACAGTTAAAATCCACCGTGCAAGTTGTGCATTGTGCTTCATCCTTGTCAAAAACTACATGCGCAGCAGTTTCCACTTCAATTTCCCACCATGATTCACAAGACCTTACAGAATCACCTTGATGGCGTGGGCATGTTTTTGATTTACCGTCACATTTTAAAACTTTACTAACCATTCCAGTTCCAAATTTAAGCATAGTCTTTCCTCGAACATCATAAAATGGATAGGGTATAGTAGTGTTGGGAAAAAACTCTGGCCTGTTTTGGCTGGTATATCTAACAGACAACATTACAGTCAGATCAGCAATT